GAAGACTTTGGGGGTTTCCTGTCTTTCTAGTGCTCTGTTGTTACCAAAAACCCAGTACTGTTTGGTTTTTTAAGAGACAAGGTCATGGGCAACTGGTGCCTCCTGAGTCAGGGGGAGCACATGCCCCCCCAGTGGCCAGTCAGCGACCAGGGGCAGGGGGGGAGGGTCCCACATACTTTTTCAAAAAGCAGTTATTCATTCTTGCCTTGTCTAACATTAGTGGCTTGATAAACAGATTTTTATTCTATTTTCCCAGGCCGGTGCTTATGATTTAAATGCAAGTTTATTGATTGTTGATCATATCTCAGCTTAAGTACATGTCATTCATAACTCAGGTTTTTGCTAGGTCCATATTCTGCACCTGTCAGTGTAGTCTGTCAGTCACTGACCATGTCCACAGCCTACAGTAGCTGAGTCTCCATAGCATTATCAGCCTAAGTTTCAACTCACTTCTACAACAACAGGCCTACTCAAACAGGCCAGCTTAAAGCCTCACTTAAGTCAAACTGAAAGTTTGTATGGACAACTCTCAAGCTACACCTGGAGCCAAGAATGCAGTGCAGACAAGTCCTCCTGCAGTGTGCAGCTGGATTAGACATAACAGCTGGAATCTCCTGTGCAGCCAACCCAATACAGTTAGCTAGTTTGATTTGTTTTCTCTGTAACAAAAATCCCAGTATAAATGTGTATAGATGTATGTGTGATGGATGAAGTAGCATCTGGCTTTCCATCATAGTCTAGTTCCTTTCAGGCTAAGGTCACCTCAGCTCCCTATTGTCTCAGACTATTGTCTGAAGGCAAGAAATCAAAAATAACATCAGCACCAGCCCCACTAGGCTTGCTGAGATTCATGCAGAAGTGAAGGAGCAAAACAAATCTGAGCCAAGGCCAGCACATATATATGCAAAAGCTGGAATGAAATCATCTGCCAAGAAAGGCAAAGGAACAATGGAAAGCTTAAAAGTTCTAGCTGGCAGTATCTCCTGTGGTGTGACTAATTTTGTAACACATGCTGTTAGGAATCCTGCAGCAAGTTTCCAGAAATCTTGGAATAATACTGGGAGAAAAATACCCCAACAGTCTAACAGTCATACAGTTGGTGGGGAGGAGATCGCTTATTAAAGAAAACAGAGGGTTAATAAACTGCTTTATGGAAACTGTAGGGCCCAGTATCTTGTATTTTATATTGAGCTTTTCCTCTCTAAGGATTCCTAGAACATGACTGACTATCCTTACATATCTTCATATGAACTACTTTATGTGTCACTGAAATATAGCTGGTAAAATAAAACAACTGTTTAATAGCACACACCAATACAGGATGTCAGGAATTCAAAGCCATATTTTCAGCACGCTGGAGAGACTGAGGGAGAAAGTAATTGATCCTGGTGCCAGTTTCAAGACAGTCTGGTCCCCAGCATAGATTAGATTACCTCAGGCTGTTTTAACCTCCACTGCAAAAGTACAGAGTCCAGGGTCTATTCCAGCAGTTGAGGATTACAGGAAAAGCAATGTGCCATAACAGCATCCTCCTCCCAGCTACAAATCCAACTCAGAGCATCGAGCTGGGCTTAGAAGCCACTACAGCAGCTCCAGAGAATTCCCTAAAGTAGGGGTATCAAACATATGGCCTGCAGGCCAGATCCAGCAGGCAGAGGTGAGTCATCTGGCCCTCACCACTTCTTGACACGGCTGCAGGCAGCCAAGGAATTAATATCACTGCCACTCAACCACATCACTGTGGCTCCTGGAGCTGCAGTGTCAGTGTGACTGGCACCCAGGGGGTGAACACAGCTACACAATTTAGGAGTTTGGAATGCCACAGAAGTCAGCAGCGTTCACCCCCTGCCTCCTGGCCATGCTGACACTGCAGCTCCAGCAGCTGTGGCTCTGGAGAGGCAGTGGTGCTAACTCCTTTGTTGCAGGTGCTAAAGTGGTACAGCATGGCTGCAGCAGCCAGAAGCCCTGCAGTCCAGGTCCAGTCTGTGAGAAGCCTCATGGTCTGGATATGGCTTACAGAGACAAATGAGTTTAACACCCCGCTTTAAAACAAAGAGACATGCTCCACTGCTGTACCGGCTATCGGGCAGATGTGCTCAAACCTAGTGGACACAAGGATCAGATCCCTTCTACCCAACTGAAAGAACAGAGGGAATTTAGATTGGAAAAATGAAACGACTCTAGCTGCAAATTGATCAGGGCACTAGAGTAAATGCTTCTTATACCAGAAGTGCATAGGATCTTATAATTGCCACGTTGGTAACAAGCTCCAGTTTACACCTACCTAAATGTGGTGCTTCACATGCGGCATCTCCTCATGCCATGCTGGGCCATTGAGTCATTGCTGATTCAAAGGGGAAAATATCACATACAGAATCATCAATGCCACTTCCTGTAGTTCTAGGCTATTCTTGGGATGTCCCCCACCCAAGTCTGACCAAGCCTTGCAATACATGGCCTGTGACAACTAACAGGCCACATGCCTAGAGACAGAAACATCTCAGGACACTTTGAAGCTACCAAACTGTGCAAAGTGAATGCAGCTATCACCATCACCTCTTAGAAGGACCATTTTAAAACACCAGCTTAAGTCTATCCCAACCATGTACTTGGTCCAATAAAAGCTTTCACCTCTAAAATCCCAGTGTCTCATATTTCCTGGACCAATATAGCCATGACATCATTCCAGCACTACTAAAGCATGTCTGAACCCAAGTCCAATACTAAAACTGGTACTTACTTTGATAGTGAGTCCTAGTCCTACCTCAAATTGTTCAAAAGCCTCTTCTTCCTTCCTTTCTTTCTGCTTAAGGATTAAATTCACTCATACTCCACAACATTCAAGGAATCAGTATAGGGTAGCTGGAATGTTCCTCCTACTAAGTCCAAACACCAGATAAGAAGTGTCCCAGGTAGAAATGTTACAATCTATGCATTCTCCTTTGCCTGAGGAAGGAGCCTGAAAGCTTACAAATAAAGAAGATTTATTGCAACTATTTAGTTGGTTTAATAAAAGATATCACCTCTGCCAAGTGTTCTGCATATTCTATGCAATTGTAGCATTTGCAGTCCCTCACATGCCCACCAGCTCTGGCAAGCTTTAGACAAGAGCAGAAGCCCAGCTGCCACCAAACATTTCCTCATTGTGCAGATGGAGTAGCTGCAGAGTACTGTGCTATCTCCCTCTATGGACCATGATCTCCATCCACGCATAGTGGAACCACAATTGTCCTATTGCTTTATAAGCTTTGCAAGGCTGCATGAAGGGGAAGGGCTGAGACAGTATTTGCCCCAAAGTAGGAAAGTATAACAGATGCCATAAATATTACAACAGGACAATGAATGTTACCGCACAATTAGTCACAGTGTAAATTCTTCTACAAACATTTAGTTTGGCCCACATACTACAACAGACATGCCGGTACAAGACTAGAGATGTGCCAGTATGGAAATACTGGGAGATCTAGTATCCCAAGCCGGGAAGTAGTATCAACATATCGCCGTTGCCAGGAGTCATTAAGTGCTCTGAAAGGCAGCAGTTCTCCAGATGATTTCATACACTCACATAGTCAACATTTCAGGCACTATCCCATCACCCCTGACTGGAAATACACAGTGTATGACCAGGAAGAGATATTCTGAGCTAGCTGAGATCACACTGGTATACATGCCAGCTTCAGTTCTGTAAAAGGTTTTCTCCACAGACCTAGTGAGCCTGTATGTAATGATACACTAATGTGGCTCCAGCTGCCTCAGAAAACTCTACAAATCACATAGCCTGGGGTAGGATGCAAGGGAAGTCACAGAAAAAGGTCCTTTCTGCCATCCAGCACCTTTCTCCCACCATGTCCCTGGAAGCCTCCCTTCCATTCCAGTAGGCTGAAATATGTGGGCCTCCTCATACTAAGAAGTGTGCCTCCTCATAATAAGATAGGCATAGCCCCTCAGGGACTTTCCTTCAGTGTTTATGGATACAGAAGATATTTGCTGCAGGTTCCTCTGTATTTGTTTTCTTATTCAACATACGTGTCCCTTGCCAGATCATGCCTCACCTTTTCCACAGATAACCCTGACATTTCTTTCTCTGGGTTTGGATGTGCAGCTGACAGTGGTATGAACTCTGTTTTCCCGACAACCCCTCTGGAAAAGAATTGCTGAGCTACAAGGCTTTTATATTTCTTGACCTAAACTAAACACAATGGATTACTAATTTCATATCTGTGAGGAATATTTATATTGCTGCTGTCACTGCCTAATATTCCTCAAAAATATTAGGTCACTTGATCCCAGCTGACTTTCTGCCTATGGCGGGGGGGCTGGACCCGATGATCTCATGAGGTTCCTTCCAGTCCCTACCCTAATGTCTATGAAATCTATGAAAAATATTTTATAGGATGATAGACCCTGTATTTAACAATGTTGAAATAGGAGTGAATAAAGTCCTAAAGTGAAAAGTGAGTCAGTTCTACCATTATGCAAGCCTGGTTCTCTCAAAGGCAAGAATGAAAACTCAATATAACAACATCCTAATATTTTTACTTCACAATCCATTTGGCTTACAGATCTATTATGCAAAGAGAAATATACTGACTAAGTCATAGTCCTTTTGATTCTTGTTCTCTGCAATCCTTGAGATCCGTTTTCCAGTGGCGCAGCTCAGCGGGAGGGGTAAAAGACTAGCCTATTGCCTAACACTTAGGGCATTCTCCTAGAAGGTGGGTGGTTTTTTTTATTTTGGGGGGCTTTTTTAATTTTGTGTGTCAGGCCAAATCAGTCAAATCTGTTCCAAATTCTATCGACTGAGCAGAGTTCAATCATTCATGTTTATGTGGCACTACCACCACCAAGTACCCTATATCCCAAACTCTTCAGTCTGGGGCTTCGGATCCTTTCAGATCCATAGCAGAAGTCCTATGTGCAAGCCCCAAGCCCAGAGGCCTCGGGTTTCAGATGAGCCCTAGTCTTGCTCGCATCTAGCTAAAAGGCCAAAGGAGCAAGCTACAGGGAAAGCCCAAGAGCAACCCGCCATCACCATAAATTGCATAGCCAAGATCCTCGCATTTGGAGACTTCTGCTGGGGTCAGCCTGCCCACAATGCAAGGGACAGGTCTCCACCCTCTAACTACACCAAGTCATTCAAAACTACCTGGTTATTTGTAGTATCTCCTCGGTCAGGTAAGTGCGGGAGATATGAAGTGGAATCCTGTTAGACAGAGAGAGGCACTGGACCTGGGTCTTCCACTTCCTGGGTGAGTACTACCTCTTCCTCCAGTCACTTTTCCAAAAAAAAAAGAAAAGAGTAATGGCTGCCATTCACTTGTCTGGGTGACTGCTTAGAGCATTCCCATTTGATTCAATCCTTCAAGGGGCTGAGGCTAAGGAATACCTGGTTTCAGGGTATTCAGTCAGGACTGGAGCAGTTCTGGGTATACATCAAAATTCCACCTACATCTTACTTTAGATCCATATTAGCCCTCTATTTGATCTAGTCCTCAGTGACTAACTGGATTATGCTAATAATAAAATAGTACACAGCAGTTGGAGCATGGGTGACTACTGAGTAGTCTCTTTGAAAAATCAGCCCATTGGTGTCTCAAGCAGGGACAAATTAAGCTACACAAAGCTAGAAGCCATTGTGTTCATATAGACTTGTCCAAGTTTTAAAAAAATTCAGGGCCCTGACACTGCTCCCTATTAAACTAATGGACATGTTGCCATTGAGTTGAGCTAGAACAAGACTAGGAGTTAAAGCCACTGAATTCTAATCCCAGCTTTGGACAGAGAGAGCAATTTCCCTTATTAACCACTAGAAAATATTCCCTCCTTAGAATACAGCAAAGCAACAAAATACATTTGCAAATTGAAGATACAGGAAATTCCTCCCTAGACTGATTAATGAGGCTGAAGTCTTTCATTTAGGAAGCACTTTAATATTTTTAAATGATTATATTAAAATCTCATCGCAAAAATAGTGTCCATTTATTAAAACTTCCTTTGATAAATTTTGTTTAGGTAACACTAATGAGATAAATTGATTTTTCAAACAAGTGTTAAGTCACATGCCAGAGCTGGAATAGGTTTTGATTTTCCATGTCTACCTAGGTACTTACAGGTCCAGTAACATTGTGGTACCAGAGTGTCTGTGAAGTTAGCATTCCAGGAGGATTGATGTAGCTTCCACATTTCATGTTGGCAACCTTTCTTATTTGTCTTCACATGAGTCAGTCTAGTTTATGGAACAGCTACGACAAGGTAACTACCTCAGAACTTCAAGTTTGCAGAAAACAAATGTAAAGGGACTTGGAGATGACTCAGAGTTAAAATACTGAAAAAATAAAAGCATCTCAAACTGACAGCTATTGGACTGGCTTATGGTTTAGTTACAGAAACTGGAATACATAAAAAGCCAGGGTTCCTAGGAAGGATTCTTTCAATCACAGATGCCTTAATTCAGCAAACACTAAATAGACTTACACATATGCTCAAATGCTTTGCTGAATTGTTCCATTTTGCTGCAGATCTCAAAATTCTATAGAAGTGGACCACATAGCAGAGATTATCTAAAATATACGCTAGACCCACCAACTCCCAATCTCCATTCTGGAGAGAACTCTACTGGCAAATAAATGAACACTTTTGCATCCCAGTAAATACTAGTAGAGAGAACTCTGATTGGAGTTCTGTGGATGGAGAGGATATGGATAAGTAGGTCTCTTCATATCCATTTTCTGACACTGCCCACAATGTCAAGCCTCTTAATTACAGAAACATAAAACTGCACTGAGGGGGGCACACCTTTTGATGATATTTATCCCAGTCCCCAAATCTGCAAAATAGATCATAGTTCAGGTTAGACAACCCCAAAACCAGTTTAAGGAACATTAGACTGTAGCCAATAAATCACTTACGGATAAAGCCAGGGGAAGTGTTTCTGGCAAGCAGTTAATTAGTAGAAAAATGCAGTCTGCAGTAAACTGCAAAAATAGGAGAGGAAAGAACATACCTCAAAAAAAGGCCTTAAGATGAAATATTTCTTCTTTTCAATTGAAATACAATTTTGAGATGAAGGCTATGTCCACACTATCCCTATACCACACTTTTGACTAGGCGTGTCTACACATACCCTTTTTAAGCGGGATTAGCCTAAACTTCCCATTTAAAGGGCACGTGTCCAAACATGTGTGCCCTTAGTGGGCCTTAAAAAAGGCAATTTTAGGCTAATCAATTTTAGGCATAAAGCAAGTATCAAATTTAGGCACGATTAAGTCATATTAGCCCACGTGTAAACAATGTGCATTAACACAGTCAATAGACACACACCACCTTATTGCATATTAGTGCATCTGCACATGGGCTAATGTGACTTAGTTAATTGCGCCTAAAAGTTAATGCGCCTTAATTCGCATTAGCACATCTACATGTCGATATGCACGTAAATCGCCTTAATGCACCTTAAGCAAAGGCACATTAAGTTTAGGCACCTGTAAATACACATGTAGACACGCCCACTGCCTCCACACAATAAGCCCCACTCACTCACTTCCATTCCACATAGCTCAAACCTAGAAATATGGCAGTGAGGACTTCAAGGTACCCCCTACCACCCTTCAGTGTTTGGAGATGTGATTTTAAATTATTCTGTTCATCCAAAACTAAACAAGACTATGAACAAAGCTAGTGATAAGATTGCAGAAATTGTATACATAGAATTTATTTCTGCTTATGTATTTCCCCTATAATTTCCTGCATTATAATGAAAAAATGTTCCTTTAGGAAACCAACTAAACAGCCTGTATTTAAAAGTATGCTCTCCTTTTGTGTAAAAGTGACTTCATCTGTCTACACTTTAATATTAAAAAACGTTGGATAGGAGCATCCCATTCCTCTAGTCCATCTCTCACTCTCCACTTTTAATTTCCCATTTGCAAAGAGATGTTCTTGAAAAATCAAAATGAGAAACTGTTGCATGACACAGAAACAGAAAATATATTCATTTAACCAAAGTGGGTTTCACAAAAAGCCTGCATCAGAGATCTGTTGTTTCTTTACATTGAAGGAAGAAAAACTAGAGTAAGAAATTTCTTCCTGACTTAAAATCTGGTGAATGGTTTGAACATTTTTACTGAAGGAAGAATAATTGTCATCAGAATGCAACCAAGAATTATGAAGACTATACAAATGACAGGGGAACAATAAAGAGCAATGGTCTCACAGATTAAAGAAAACATGCTTCACCAGCCCCTAGAACTTTTGAAAAAAACACCTGTAGGTCAGAAATAAGATGAAACATCCAGAGGGACTAGGAGGGAAATGCTAACCTAAGGGGTTGGGGCATTTCAAGAAAATTGAAGAGTTTTGCTGAGTTAATTTCAAAAAATGAAAATATTTTGAGACATTGTTCAGAGACAAACTAAGTTTTTGAGACTGGCTAGAAGTGATACAGTAAATAGGACACTGAACAACTAAAGAAATCAGTTCTATAATATGGTAAAAAAAAATGAAAGGGAAGCAAGCTGATTGCTATTTCACTTCAGTCTGTCTAAGACTGACAAGCTGTGGTCATAAAAATGACTTGTACATACAACATTTTGTTCAGACCAGGAGTGGCCAACCTGCGGTGCTCATGGGACAGGCAGCCTCTGTGTGGCATGTAGTAGATCAGGGAGAGGACAGGCAGCACTGCGGCAGATAGCACAGGATACAGAAAGTACGTCAGCAGATTGGGCAGGGAACAAAAAGCAAAGAACCAGATCGGGCAGGAGAATGAGGGGATAATTTTTGGCACATCTGCTAAAATGTTTGGCCCCTACTGATTTATACAATTCAAATAGCCTACCTGCTTATATACACATTTCCCTAATTTTTAGGCTATCAATTTTAGTGAAAAATGTGTGTGTTAAGATGAAATATACAGAACATTAACATCTTAAAATGAAATGGAGGAAGAAGAAACTGCATATTTCATAAGTTTCTGTATTTATGAACACAAAAAAATATTCATTCCATTGTAACTGCTGTTATCCTTGGAATGGGTACTTGGACAGCAACTGTCTGCTAGCAAAAAAAATAAGTCTCTCTTCATGGCCAGGTCCAGTACTATCAGAAGGCAGGGCATACCTATGCACCTTTATAGAATAACTAAATAAGATAGTCCTCTCTCTCTCAGCTTCAACATTGCCCTGAGTTAATCATTTAACCAAAGACTGCCTCCATGGTTCACAGGTACATGTTGAATGTAGTACCTGCCTAAGATGAACATTGGTCACTAACAACCCCTTGGACTCAATATTCCAGATACAGCCTTTATGTCTTTCTTTGCCTTTAATCCATATTAGGAATCTTCCTCATATTTCAGATTAAATCTTGGATGGCTCATTTCTAAAGAGTTAAACTACCCTATAAACTATATGCATAAAGCTGAGCCAAAGAGGGTAGTTGGTGTTCAGTGTTCACAGACTTTTTTTTCCCCTAAAGGAAGGTATATACATATACTTTATTGTCTTCTGTGAATCATTACTCTCAAGCCTCTCAAACACCTATATTTTTTTTCCTGCAGGATGCCATTATCAAACTGATTATTCTGTGGGATGCTGTTATCACATTGATTATTGACGCAAAGCAGCTGCACATGCCAGATTGAATTATTAATGGCTTAAATCATCTGGTGATCTGACACCACAATCTGTGTAATTGTGTTCAGTGACAGCACATCCTTCTTACTGGAAATGATATAATTGGATCTGTTGAGGTACAAACTGAATATGCACAACGCCATTCCCCAGGTTTTGTACAAACAGGTCTTTGCTTTATCTACTTTTTACACAGAGACACTTTATAGCTTCCCAAGCCCAAGGCCTTAATTCAAAAGCATGGGAAAAGCCAAAAGGCCTGCTGCGGTGTCTTAGTAGACAGCCTGCTGACTTCCCAGGCCCAAGGTCCTGGCTTCAAAACCCACAGCTGCCTTCCCAGAGACTCCTTGTCTGTGCATGTTTTTTGTCTTTTCTTTTTGTAGGCCAGGGGGAGGGGTGACTGAAATTTCCCAACCTTTACTGCTTAAAGGGTCTAAGAGAGCAAGCAGAGTGTCATTATCCACTGGGATACACAGCTTAGTAAGTAGAGCTAGGAGCTGAATCAAGGATTGCAGGAGTGGGGGGCCA